CTGGTGGCAGGGTTCGGCATGTGGTGGACAAGGTTGATAAATTACTGGGAAGGGCTGGGCATGACCCAGCTGTCTTGGTCCATGTTGGACCCAATGACAGAATACATGGAAGGTGGAGGCTCCTTAAGAATCAATTTAACGAACAAGGCTGCATGTTGAAGATAAGGACCTCCAAGGTGATATTCTTTGAAATATTACCTGTGCCATGCGCAATTCAGGAGAGACAGGGAGAGATTAGAGAACTCAATGCATGGCTAAATACCTGGTGTAAGAGGGAAGGATTTGGGTTTCTAGAGCACTGGGCTGACTTTTCATTGGGGTGCAACCTATTTGCTAGAGATGGTTTCTACCTAAATGGAAGGAGGTCTGCTGTGCTGTGGGAGAGGTTTATGGGAATGCTGGAGGAGTATTTAAACTAGTATCGAGTTGGGTACGAGAATTAGATTATAACGGGGTAGACAGATCAGACAGTGGTCAGTACTTATTGGTGGGTGGAATGGGGAAAGATGGGGGGAAGGCTATGGCAGATAAGAAGGTTCCCATGTTTCAAACAACCAGTGGAATTGGTACCATTTGTATGAAAATAAAATATATGCAAAATACATGTGCATAAGGTGTCAATGGATTAAAGTGTTTGTTCACCAATGCCAGAACCCCTCCAAGCAAAATAGGTGAGTTGGAAGCTTTTTTGCATGAACAGAGCTATGATTTAATTGGTATTGCTGAATCTTGGCTTCATTCTTCACTGACTGGGCCATTAATATTCCTGGCTATGTTCTCTTTTGCAGAGACAGGGTAAATAGGAAAGGTGGTGGTGTCTGTCTCTATGTGAGAAGTGATCTCAGAGCAAGTGTGAAAGAGGACCTAGTTGATGGAGAGTGTGATGAGGCTGAATCATTATGGATGGAACTGTACATGGGGGTGCATACTACAAAGGTAATCATTGAAGTTTGTTATAGGCCTCCCGGTGTTAATGAGGAGGTGGAGACTCAGCTCCTTGCACAGGTTGAAAGAGCTGCAAGGGCTGGGACAGTGATAATACTGGAGGAATTTACTCAGAAATTGACTGGAATAATGGTACTGCAGGAACAGTTAAAGGGCAAAAATGTTTAAACCTACTACAGGACAATTTTATGATACAGTTCATAGAGGCCCCAACTAGGAATGATGCTCTGCTGGACCTTGTAATCTCAAACCATGCAGACCTTATTACGAATGTCCAACTATGTGGCAAATGAGGTTTAATGTTGATAAATGTAAGGTCATGCATTTGGGGGCAAAAAATTTGCATGAATCATACATACTAGGGGGAGTACAACGGGGAACCAATGGTGGAGAAGGATCTGGGAGTTTTGGTAGATCACAAGCTTAATAATGGCATGCAATGCCAAGCTGCGGTTTCTAAAGGGAGCAAAATCCTCTCTTGTATTAGGAGAGGTATAGACTCCAGAGAGAGAGAGATATCATATTACCCCTGTACAAATCATTCGTAAGACCTCATCTGGAATATGCAGTTCAGTTTTGGGCACCAATTTACAAAAAGAACATTGGGGAACTAGAGAAAGTACAGATAAGTGCAACCAATCTGATAAGAGGCATGGAGGAGCTCAGCTATGAGGAAAGATTAGAGGAACTGACTTTTTCTCTCTTGAGAAGAGGAGATTAAGGGGGGATATGATCAACATATATAAATACATCGGTGGTTCATATAGTGAACTCTGTGTAGAGTTATTGACCCTGAGGTCATCACAGAGGACAAGGGCACTCTTTACGTCTGGAGGAAAAGAAATTTCATCTCCAAAAATGGAAAGGTTTCTTCACAGTAAGAGCTGTGAAAATGTGGAACAGACTCCCTCAAGAGTTCGTTCTAGCCAGCTCAGTGGATTGCTTTAAAAAAAAGGCCTGGAATTCTTTCTTGGATCAACAGAATATAACTGGTTACTATTTATAGGTAAAGTTGATCCAGGGAATATCCGATTGCCTCTCAAGGGAACAGGAATGAATTTTTTCCCCTGCAGGAGCAAATTGGATCATGCTTTGCTGTTTTTTTTTGCCTTCCTCTGGATCAACTGTGGGTGTAGGATTATAACTTTTTTTTTTTAATGATTGAACTGGATGGACTCTTGTCTTTTTTTAGCCAGACTAACTATGTAACTATGTAACATAGGGAAGTAACCCATCATTTATGATCTACCAGTAGATTGGTATAATGCCAATTACCAGAACATGAGACCTTTAAAGCTGTTAACCTACCACTGTTATATATAATATACTGTATGTTTCTGCAGGTTGACTAGCCTTGCTTTAGAATAAATAACTCTCTGGTAATGGATGATTTCATATTCCTCTATGATGGTTGTCCACTCCTCTGGTGGTGGCAACCAATGTATGTAAGTACCTGCCTACTTTCTTTTGTGTTTCTAAGATTTCTCCCTTGGACTCTTTTATTCGCTTATTTGTTGTTTTCAGTTTATTAATTGGTCAATTTGTTCCTTGGAGTAGCTCTTTAGGTTTTATCATGGAAATATGCTTAACCTGAATTACTTTCATTAGACTTAAGATAGCCAAAGAAGTAGAAAGGTTACAGGAAAAGTCAATGTTACTAGACGCATCCAAGCATGTTGTTTGAAAAAAGGTGAGTCCTTTGATATTTGATTGTTGGATATCATTGAAGATGTAAAAGTAGAGTATGTGAGAAATGAAACTGAGGAAGCATGGCTGAGGAGGAAACAATAGTTAGGTGGAGGCAGAGATTTGCTGCTCATACTAATTATCCACACTATTACTAAAAGTATACCTAATGCAGGGGTAGGCAACCTGCGGCTCTCTAGCTGTTGTGGAACTACATTTCCCATGAGGCATTGCAACATTACAAAACTAATAGTTACAGCTATAACTTGCAGAGGCATGATGGAACTTGTAGCCCTGCAACAGCTGGAGAGCCGCAGGATGCCTACCCCTGACCTAATGCCACAATTTATTTCCTGTATGTGCCCCATTAGGAAGATTTTCCCTTCACTTCCTGCAGTGAATACAATAATAGAAATTGAAAATTGAAAATGTCTTCAAACTGAGACAGTTGTCTCCATAACCTATGCCCTGTTGGAAGATTATGTTCTGGTGCCAACAGTAAAATGTTGGATTTCCAATCACATGGACTGACAGTGGTCACTAGGACAAATAGAGGAGGTTAATTCCCCAATGGGGACACTTAGAAAATCATTAAGAAAAAAAAGGCCAGCACACAGGAGATTAAGATCTCAAAACTTTGCTGAGGTCTTTACAGAAATAGCATAATACAAACAAAAAAAGGTCCCCTTTCTCAAGGTGATAGACAAATTCAAGCCAAACACAATTATATACAGCTAACAATGTTGATAACACAACCCACCTGTGTTACCATGGATTTTCAGTGCTGAGTTCCAGTACAAGTTGAAATACAAAGGGATCCAGGCAAAATATAGCCCACACAATATAGGGGCATATAATTAAAGATATGCTAAATGCCATATTGGGTACTACAATTGCTCAGTCCTTAGTAATGAGTACAATTATTTACGAGTACAATTGCTTAGTAATGACTAAGGATCATCATTACTTGCTAAATGTAATTGAAAAGTTGTACCCCTGAATTAAGATGGAGAACGGTATACATCCTGGAAGCTGGAAATTTCCTGTACTGTACATGTCTGTGTGTCCTGTGAACCAGAAGCGATGTCATTGCTGAGATCAGAAATTACTGCACTAAAGCTGATCACTCTACCCACTTTTTTGTGATACGGCACTGCATTACTTTAACTAACAATTGTGTGGTCATGCAACACTGCAGCTAAATGAAATTTCCATCCTTTTTTTCCCACAAATAGAGCTTTCTTTTGATGGTATTTGATCGCCTGTGTGTTTTTTATTTTTTTCGCTATAAACAAAAAAAGACCAAAAATTTTGAGAAATAAACAATATTTTTGCTATTAACCTCCCTGGCGATATTCCCGAGTGTAGCTCGGGGTAAAATTTCTGTACCAAAAGCGGTAACCCCCGAGCTACACTCGGGCTTACCATGCGGCGTTGCTCAGGGGGTCCCTGCAGCACTTACCTTCTCCTTCGCTCCCGCGATGTGTCCCCTGCAGCGTCCCCGGCCATCTCCTCCGGCCGATGCCGGCATCCGGCTTCTGTGTTCCGGTCCCTGTGACGTCGGGACGTACAGGCGCTGGAACCGGCGGGAAATTTGAAATTTTTAAAAAATTTCATTTTTGCTGTCATTGCTGTTTCAATGCATTTCACATACATTTTGTCCCTACTGCTTTGTCCTGTGCCCTGCCTGCATTTTGAATGTTCTTTCTGCCTGGAAACTTAGAAAAGTCCATGGCGTCCAAAAAGCGTCCCTTTACGTCAAAAGCGGTTTTAGAACAGCGATAGTAAATCAGAACCACTTGCAGAATTGAGTGATAATGATTTGTGGGGAAATTCGTCATCAGACACTGAAAACGATTTTGCGACTTTGCTCAGTGATGTGCGAATTTGCCTCTGTATTTCAAATTTCAGTGTTTTTGGTTTGATTATATTATTGAATTAAATTTATTAATATTATATTATTATTTTTTATGATTATTTATTAAATTATAATTTATGATTTTGTGTTTCAAATTTTATCATACCCGGGATGTTTACTAGACTCTTGTTCGGACAGATTTCAGTGAGTTATTCCTAAAATTACAGCCTACAATAAAAAACTACATATTTCCATGCAAAAAAATGGTACCGCTTTCAGCACAAAAAAATCAGAAAGAATCATACCGCCAAGGAGGTTAAACATGTCTGGCAAAAAAATTTTAAAAAATCAAATTTCGTCATACATTTAGGCCAAAATGTATTCTGCTACATGTCTTTGCTAAAAAAAATCCCAATACGTGTAAATTAATTGCTTTACGTGAAAGTTGTAGCATTTATAAATATTGGTATAGACACTGGAATTTTTTTTTTTTACTAGTAATGGCAGCAATCAGCGACTTATATCGGGACTGCAGCGGCCATTCTGACACTGGGGGGAACTGACTTGGTGTCACTGACATCCCCAGTGACACCAGTACAGTGATCAGTGCTAATAAAAAGCACTGACACTGTACTAATGGCACTGAGCAGGAAGGGGTTAACATCTGAGGCGATCAAAGGGTTAACTGTGCTGTGTGTGTTTTACTAAGCATGCTGTGTGCTGTGTTTCACTGTAAGCACACTGCTTTGTATGGTTCTGCTATGCAAAGCCATACAAAGCAGTGTGCAGGAGCTGACAAGGGAGAGAACTGTGTTGCTTATACACAGGCCTCTCCCAGGTCGGAGATACTCAGTGATCAGGTGATTGACAGCCGAGGCCGCAAATGGCGTGCATGTCCCCTACCCGGGAATGCAAAATCACATATATATATATGTATATATACACACGTGATTTTGTGCACCTGTGCCGCCCTGTAGCAGTATTTGTGCTATAGGGTGGCACAGAATCAGCTAGAGCATAAGGAGATTGTTACAAAACATAACAAAAATTAAAGGGGAAGTTTAACTTTCAAAAAAAGGAGGGGAAGATGAAAAACAAAATGGTGTGCTGGCCTTTTTTGTTACTGGTTTTCCATGATATCACCATTTGCCATGTACCCTATCAATACACTTTAATGTACAAACAAAAGGCCTCCAAAGCATTGGAGAGCTTTAAACTTAAAGTTGAACTTTGGGTTAAGCAAATATTAAGTATAAGAGCAGGGGCGGACTGACAACTCATGGGGCCCCCAGGCAATAAGGGATCATGGGACCCCTGTGTCCTTGCCCAGACTCAAAAAAGCCTATGAAAAAGGAACGAGGGGCATTTCATGGGGCCCCCTACTGACCCCGGGCCCTCGGGCAGTGCCTGAGTTTCCAAATGGTCAGTCCTCCCCTGTATAAGAGGCATGTGTAGTCAAATATGAAACTTTGCAACTATGCAATAGCTTCCTGTAACAAAAACTAGTCACTGCTGTTGTCTCCTTGTGAAGGGTGACTGCTCTTGTCTCTGCCCCCTCCTATAGTTATATTCAGGTAGCCTGTAGTGGGTGGGTCCAATCCCCGGATGCCCCACACTCGCACAACTTACAGGACTTAAAGGATCTGCTCTTGACAGCCTGGTGCCAGATATCACAGCATAACTTCATAGGTCTAGTGGTGTCCATGCCTTGATGGATCATGGGTTGATGGGCCTGTTTTGTCAGCAAAAGGAGGTCCTACTCAATATTAGGTGAGTGGTCATTATGTTATGGGTAATCAGTGTATATTTACATTAAAGTTTTAACTTTAGAGTTAGAGAAAGATTTGTAATTAAAAACTAAGTTAAAGCTAAGTTGATTTTATGCATCTTTGTACCAAGGGTGCAGTTATGCTTTAAAAACTTTTCATGAATCCCTTTCTTTTGGTTTTCAGTTTTAGCACAGCTGTTCATGTACAATGCGTACAAACAGGATTAAAACAGGATTAATTAAGATAAACAAAATACCTTCATGGAGGACCACCATTCGATACAATTATGAAGTGATTTGAACTGTGAATCCATTCTTTTACTCACATATTCTGATTGCCATCTATTTCAGATTGGTATATTTTTTAAATACATTTAATGTTTGTAGCTTCATGTAATGTTATTTTTGGCTTCATTGATCCTAGCTTCCCTGCAATGTGTTTCAGGGGAGTTGGAAGTATTAGTGAGAAACCCATAATTTTGGAAAATGTCATTGCACAAATTTACATATGTGCTACATATTGCAATCCGTTTGACAATAAACTGTTCCCTATGAGAGTGAGAAACCAAGAGAGTAGCTGTTGCCAGAACCAGCATCATGCTGAAAACAAACTACAATAATATCAAAAGCTACAACACATAACAGCAAGGAAGCTGAGAACAGAGACACTGTTGGAGTTTCCTTTCTGTAATTACAAACATTATACAAATAGTGATTTTGCTGCTCCTTCTCACACTTAGGCATCATATTATATGCCGCAAAACAGAATCACTTCCATGTGTTGTTTCTATTTTTTTAGAGGAGTTACGCTGTGCACAGTAAGTTCAGTGTTGGTGCAGTTGTAGGTGAATGCAAAAAAATGTTACGTTTTCTGTGAAGAAAAAGGGCAGTTTGGGAAGATTAACACTTATTCATAGATTCTAGGGGCATTATTAGTATCAAAGATGATTTCTACCCAGAGAACATCAAACAAGGGACTTTGTTACCACTAGAAGAGATTAATATTTCACATAGGAATATAGATTCATTTATTTTACCTTCAAGTTGTTCTAAAGGCAGAAGGTTTTTTTTACCATAATCTGTTTATGCATTAAGGTAAAAAAAGCTTCTGTGTGCAGCTCCCTCCCCAGCCCCCCCTTATAATTACCTAAGCCAATCTTGATCCAGTGCTGTGCTTAAGGGCAGTGGCTCTCTCCTCTCTCTCTCTCCTCATTAGCCATGCCATGGAAGCAGCAGTGTGAGCCCTTTCTTCCTGCTGCTGTCAATCACAGCCTGCGAGGAGAGAGCGGGGGTGGGACTGAGCCACTGTGTATGTGTCAATGGACAAACACAGCTTAGCTAGGGATTGAGCCCTCATGAGTGCCTTCATTGTAAGCAGTTTGCTGTGGAGGTACATAGCAGGGGGAAGGAGCCTGGAGCAAGGGGACCCGAGAAGAGGTGGATCGGGGCTTGTCAGGGATCGGGTTGTGACCAGAAATGTGTGGACTGACACAGGGAAGTAGCAGGCTTCAGGAACACAGGCGTAGTCAAGGCTGGAGAGGTTAAATGGTCAGGCGGGCCGTAAGGGGGAAAGCCTGATGTGAAGGGGCTGGCAGGTTTGCACAGTAGTGACTGGATCCGTGCGGGATGGATGGATCGTCTGGGTAGCGTCAGGCGTAGGCAGGCAGGCCAGGTCAGCAACGTGCGGGCAGTGACGTACCGGAGGAGCAGGCAGAGAATAGTCAGGGTCACAAGCCGGGTTCAGTAACTCACAGGCAGTGCGGTACAGAGGATCAGGCAGAAGGATGGTCAGGCAAGCCAGGGGTTCAACAGGAGACGATCAGCAGAGGTCAGGATCAAAGCAGGGTCAGCAACTAGGCAGATAGGCAGGAACACAGGATACCAGGTACAGGGGCTCATGGGAAACATACACCAAGGCCCTGATCACAGGCCTAGTCATTCCTTAAATACACCTCCTGCAATCAGCACCAGGTGTTGGCTGATTGCAGGAGTGAGCTTCTGGCTGCTGAGAGCACCCGCTGGTCAGCCCTGGTACTGCAGCCCACACGGCAGGTGAGTCCCACCACCAGTGCTGAGTCCATTCCTGACAGGGCTGCTCTCTTGAACAGAGCAGGTGAGTATACCATGTTTGTTATTTTTTCTTAAATTACCCTTTACAATTGCTTTCAGCTTATTGACATCTATAGCCTTCAATCTCATGATGCACTATGTAGAGGCAAGAATAGAATAGGTAACTAATTTTCCTGATCTATGTGTTCCATATATTCCATGCTAAAAGTCAACTTTGCATTTCCTATCTGTCTTACGACGTTAGGACCACAATAGAACTTAATATAAGGCATTTCAGAAATACATTTTTTTAAAGCGGACTTGGGTCTATAAACATGTAATATTTATAAATATTATCCCTCATATGGTTCAAAATGAACCTGTTTACTGTATATTCAACTGTTTACATATTCCTTACTAATGATACTTGAGCTTTAAACCAATTCTTCTTCATTAATCTGTGTAGCTGCAGCACCTGTGGAGCAAATCATGCTCAAAGTAATTCTTTCAGTAGTTCACCTCATAACCTTCCAGTCTTATGATCTCTAATGTTAACACAGATCAGGTGCTTTGGGAAAGAAAGAAGGGTGAGCTGAGCTGTTAACAAAACAACTAATGACTTCACTCCTTCTGCTCTACATTGCCTGTAGCTACAGAGGTTTGTGAGACTTGTTTGCAAATTTATTTATTATATTTGAAGAATAACTGCATGATAAAAATAGGTAAATGCTGAAATATCCATAAACTGGCCATAGACACTTGGGGGTTTATTTACTAAAGCTGGAGAGTCCAAAATCAGACTCCCTTCTGCATAGAAACCAATCAGCTTCTAACCTCAGCTTGTTCAATGAAGCTTTGGCAATGAAACCTGGAAGCTGATTGGTTTCTATGCAGAAGGGAGTCTGATTTTGGACTCTCCAGCTTTAGTAAATAAACCCCTTGTTGTCGAACATCAGTGATTACAGCTCACATCTTGCTCTAAACTAGCTTCTGCAATGACAAGGCCCTGCATGCAGCTCATTTTGATTGCATGCTGAAGTAAGCCCCTGTAAGCAGAGTGGAAGTAAGCACAATGAACTTAGGCATTGTTCGGCATGAGTGATTTACCACCTGCCAGTACTTGCAGAGTTCCGGTCATAACGCCATGCAGCCTGGAGAGGAGCAATCTGGAACATCTAGCATATTTAAAGGTAGGTATCCCTGAACACCAATGACTATACTAATTCCACTGACATCGATTCCACTGATCCTATTCCTCTTACTGACACCAAAAATGGTGCACTATTCCTCCACTGTCACCAATAGAGTTGAATTATTTGGCCCAGTCACACCAACAATGAGGCACCACTGACATTAACAAAAATGGCCATTTCTTTCAATGACGCCAGTGGTGGGGCACCATTGATCTTATGGAGACCAACAATGATGCACCATTCCTCCCACTATCCATGGGGCATTTATTAGTCTCACTGATAACTGTAGCTGGAATAATTGTTACTCCTAGTGGGCTCTGACAGGGGAATTTTTTTACTCCTGCTGATGGTGGGCATTTTTTTCTCCCACTGCCTACCAATGCAGAGATTTTTTTACTCCGACTGACCATGGATACAGGGCATTTTTTACTCTTCTAACCACTTTTACCCCTACTGACTATCAATACAGGTGCATTTTTTACCCCCACTGAATTCCAATGCAGTGTATATTTATACTCTTAATGACCACAGTCTGGCCCCCCAACAAATAATGAACTTGCCCTTTTAAAAGGTTGATGACCCCTGTTGTTAGTGTATTACCATAACTATTACCATAAATATGATTCTTTTACTATATATATCTCATTCATGCATACATACTCCCACACACACAGGTGTAAAAATAAATGTACACATACTGTGTATGAATAAATGCCTGAATTAAATGGAAGGTAACTTAGCTTCACAGAAGCGTAATATGGTGTTGTTCTCTTGTAGTGAATCAATAGATTTATGATCGCTTAAAAGGAAACAATACCTTTCAGTTTACAACTGCAGTTAAAGCATACAGTACCAGCTTACTTACCTTAAAATATAACAGTAAGAACCATTTTCAGACTGTC